ATTATTATTATATTTTAATTCCATTTTACCACAAACTTTTTGGATCCTTTTCATATTATGGTAATATTCCCAATCTTAATCAATTATCACCAAAGAGTATTATTTAACTGCAAGTAAATATTATAACATCAAAATATTGCATACAATTTAACATGTATGCCACATGTGGCATACTCAACCCACAAAATCTTGAGTTTAAGCTGATTACCTGCCCACTGTTCATCTCTTGAAGATGTTGAATAGATGCATTTTTCAAAGAAGAAATCACTTTCCATATATGGTTACCTCTTTTTAACCCAACTTTCTGATGGAGATTTATAAGCTCAGTCAATACCATTAGGTATAAATGGCAACGATCCAGATCTGAAACCTAAGACAAACATTAAAATGTTTATGGGTACATGATTTTCATAGACTGTGAGAGTGAAGGCCAGGCATAAATTAGTTAAAGTACTAAAAGAAGATATTTATGAGAGAAATGTCATTTCCTTCAAGAAGTCTATAATAATCAATCTTTGCAGAACTATGGGCATCCTTCTCTGGGTTTGTAGTAGTGATTTTACATTCAGCATTGCTATCACACTTTAATCACAATTTTATCCTCTATTGCCTACCTATATATATCATGAGACACTAGAAGAACCATGTTCTATCAATTCCTGCCAGCACGTCACAACAATTATAACAGTTACCACACTTCCTTCTTTTTTAACTGTCAGCTCTCAAACGGAAGATTATGGCCTCATTTTCTTAATAAATAGACTAACTTTGGAAGGTTAAAACTTCCCCAAAGTCCCACACCTAATTAGGGGAAGAAACAAGTTCTATGTAGCTCTATCACTCACCAGCTCTGTGACCCAGGACAACTTACCTCGTTTCTCTGACTGGGATTCCTTATCCAGAAAACAGGAATAGTGCCCATTATGGTTTGTTTGAAAGAATTAAGTGAGAGTTAGTACATTAAAGCTTTAGCTTAATAGCTAAATTACTTTAATGGCCTTAATTAACATCACTATAGTAACTTGCCTCCTCTAGCACAAAAAAGCACTTAATTCATGAATTTAATCGATTTTAATGCAGTAATCACTATATGCCAGGCATTCTGTATGATGATAGTATAAAATATAGATGTAAGGTAAAACTATTGGTGACAGAGCTTCTTCAATCATACTGTACGACAAACAAGACAGAAAGGTATTTCCAATACAAACAAGACTACTAAATGTAAGTTTCAGTGGAAATTCTAGAACAATAGACTACTATGAAGAGGTAATAGGCTGTCCACATCTGAATGATTAGCCACTGCAAACCTTAGGAACAGCAGAGAAACATTCTCAGATATACTGAAAACCTTATGAACAACAGTAGAACATTGTTAGATATTAAAGTTAATGATGGAAGATGAGCCTCTCAGGTTGAAAGGTGCTCAAAATAGGACACCGGAGGAAGAGCTGTCTTCTCAAACGAGAGTCAATCATAATGACATGAAGTGAGAAGAACCAGCTACAAACATCCATCAATAATCAGAATGTGGAATTTAGGAGATATGACTGCGAAAATTAGAAATAATAAAAAATGAAACAGAATATAGAAAGCCCAGTATCTGAGGCATGAGTGAACAGAAATGTGCTGCTATTGGCCATTATGAATGAGAAAACCATATGGTTTGCTATGCTGCTAATAAATTCAAGAAGAATGGCTTCACATTCAATGTCAAAAAGAATAGCCATCTGTGAATGAATAGTATCTACAAATATTAATAATCTATGACTAATACTGTCTATGAATGAATGCCATCTGTGAATAATATCCATAGGCATACAAGGAAATCCAATCAATACAACTATTATCCAAATTTAACACCAACAACTAAAAGTAATGAGGAAATTGAAGAATTATGCAAGCCTTTTCACTGTAAAATTGATCAAACATGCAATCAAGATTCATTTATTATTGTTGATTGCAATGCAAAAGTTGGATGGAAAAGTAATTGGAATATATAGCCTTGTGATAGAAATGAAGCTGGAGATCATGTAGAACTTTTTGTAAGACCAACATATTTCTTCATTGAAAATACCTTTCCAGGAAGTGGTGTTAACAAACCCAGGGAACAAAGGCACAAGTGATCCAAAATCGGTGGCGAGGAGTGGGTAGGAGGCCTGGAAGCGCTTGATCAAGGGCAACATAACCGAGAGGAATTACTGAAACCCAAATGAAGGCTGAGCATGATAGTGGGACAAGAGGAAAGTAAAAAGAAATAAGAGGAAAGAACTAGGACATTTATAGAGGTCTAAATACAGGCATGGACATATGTAAATATATTTATATATGATGGGGAAAAAGATCTATGTGCATATATGTATAGGTTTAGTATTAAGGTAGCAGATGGACACTGGATCTCTACTCAAGTACTCCCTCAATGCAAGAATACTTTGTTCTATTAAACTAGCATTCCATGATGCTCACCTTCCTGACATGATTGAAGACAAAGCAGGTGCATAAGCAAATGTGGTGAACAAAGCTGATGGAGCCTGGCTATCAAAAGATACAGTGTCTGGGGTCTTAAAGGCTTGAGGTAAACAAGCAGCCATCTAGCTGAGAAGCAACAAAGCCCACATGGAAGCAGCACACCAGCCTATGTGATCACAAGGTGTTGATGAGATCAAGTATCAGGCATCAAAGAACAAAAAAATCATATCATTGTGAATGAGAGGGAGTGAGGAGTGGGAACCCAAAGCCCATCTGTAGGCAACTGGACACCCCCTTACAGAAGGGTCTCGGGGTGGAGATGTGCTAGTCAGGGTGCAATGTAGCAATGATGAAACATACAACTTTCCTCTAGTTCTTAAATGCTTCTTCCTACCCCCACTATCATGATCCCAATTCTACCTTACAAATCTGGCTAGAACAGAGGATGTACACTAGTACAGATAGGAACTGGAAACACAGGGAATCCAGTACAAATGAAGTCCTCTGGACCAGTGCTGAGAGTGGTGATACTGGGAGGGTGTAGGGAAGGTGGGGTAGAAAGGGGGAACCGACCACAAGGATCTACATATAACCCCCTCCTTGGAAGACGGACAACAGAAAAGTGGGTGAAGGGAGACGTTGGACATGGCAAAATAATAATTTATAAATTATCAAGGGTTCATGTGGGAGGGGAAAAGACCAAGATCTCAAGTAGAAAACAAATGTTTTGAGAATCATGGCAACAAAGGTACAAATGTGCTCGACACAATGGATGGATGTATGGATTGTGGTAAGAGTTGTATGAGCCCCCAACAAAATGATTTTTTTAAAAAAGAAACTACCTTTCGAACAACATAAATGACAATTATACATGTGGATTTCACCAGATGAAATATACAGAAATCAAAATGAGTACATCTGTGAGGAGAGATAACAGAAGCACAGTATCAGATAGATCTTGACTGAGAGCAGAGAACACTAAAAAAATGCTTACTTGTGTTCTATTTACAAGTAGCCCAGGTGGCACAGTAGGTTATGCACTGTATTGCTAACCTGAAGGTCAGCAGTTCTAAAGTACCAGCCATGAGAAAGATGAGGCTTAATTCTCCTATATACCGTTGCAGATCCAGAAAGCTACAGGGGCAGTTATTCTCCATCTTTTATGATTATTAAGAGATGGAATTGACACCATTAGAGTGAGCTTATGTTTTATTCACTACACAAAGGAATTTGTGCAGATCATAAATTATGGCTAGCACTAAGAAGAGAATTGCAGAACATGTAATTGTGCTCATGTGGAGCCAGTACATGGATCAAGAGGTAGTCATTTGAATAGAGCAATGGAATATTACGTGCTTCAAAATCAGGAAAGCTGTGCATTGGGGTTATATCCTGTCACCATACTTGGTCAATTTGCATGCTCTACAGATTATCAGAAAATGGACTAGATGAAGAATGAAGCATCAGGATTGGAGGGAGGTTTATTAACAATCTTCGACAAGCAGAGGATATAACTTTGCTTGCTGTAAGTAAAGAGGACTTGAAGAACTTGCTCATGATAATGAAGGATTGATTATAGCCTTCAACAGGAATTGCAATTCAATGTAAAGAAAACTGAAATCCTCAAATGGACCAATAGATAACATCATGATAAACAGAAAAGATTGAAGTAGTGAAGGATTTCATCTTGCTTGGGTCCACAATCCACAATCATGGAAGCAGCAGTCAAGCAACACATTTTACTGGGAAAATCTGCTGCACAAGACCTATTAAACATTGAAGTGTTAAAGAGTAAGGAAGTCACTTTAAGGACTAAAATGTGCCTAACCCAAGACATGGTATTTTCAATTGCCTCTTAAGCATGTTAAAGTTGGACTCTGAGTAAGGAAAACTGAAGAGCTGATGCATCAATTGAACTGTAGTGCTGGTGAAGAATATTGAAAGTACCATGGACTGCCAGAACAACAAATCCATCTTGGAAGAACAGCCAGAATCCTCCTTGAAAGTGAGGTTGGCAAGCCTTTTTTCTCATGTATTTTGGACATATCAGAAGAAACTAGTTCCTGTAGAAGGGCATCATGTTTGGTAAAGTGGCCAGGCAGTGAAAAAGAGGAAGACCCTGAACAAATGGCTTGGCATCGTGGCTACAACAATGGGCTCAAACATCAAAACTGAGAGGGTGGCACAAGGCTACGCAGTTTTCATCCTTTTTTGCACAGGGTCACTATGAGTCAGAAATGACTTGAAATTTAACAAGGTTTAGTGACAGATTAAACCTAAATTATGTGAGTGAGAGATAAAGGTGCCAGAGTGTTTCAGGCTTGAGAAACTGGTTAAGTGATACACTCGCTAAGAAAAAAAATCTTGAAGTGAATTCAAATAGCCTATTTACAGGATTAATAAGGTGTTTAGTTTTGAGTAGAATAATTCTCTTCAATGTGAGAAGTTCAACCCCAGTTATCAAGTAACAAATGGATGAATAGTTCTTAAGCTCAGCAGACAGGTCCAAGTGAAGACAGAAATGTGAGTGTCACTGAACAACGGCAGCTAGGGAAGTGGATGAGCTCACCTAAACGTAGTAAAGAGGATGGGAAAAAGAAGAGGCCAGGAGAAGTCATTAAAAGATCTAACTAAAGGATATATACTACAGAATAAATTTTCAAAAGAAAAATTAAAATGATAGCCAGAGATGGGGGGAGGACAGAGTATTTCAAAAATGACATGATCATCAGTGTCCAGTAGGCAAGGAAATGAAGAAAAGTTCAAGGTTGGTAACAAAGGGGTCACTGATGACTTAAAAATTGTTTTTTAATATAATTTCCTGGCAGACAATTGTTCCATTTTTAGAAATTACTTATTTCTGACATGATGTCAGGATAAAAAGTAGGATTAGGAGACAAA